CTCTGCTGGGGAAATCAGAGATGGGGAAAGACTTGGGGGTCCTCATATTATAATAATACAGGATTTATAAAGCGCCAACAGTGTGTGCAGCACTTTACAATATGAGGACATTATAATCACAATACAATTCAGGACAAGATGGTAAGGAGGGCCCTGCCCCTGAGGGCTTACAATCTAAAAGGAGAGGGGCCAGTGATACATGAGGAGGGAGCTGTGTGTGGGGATGAACGTGATGGTTGAGTGGTTAGGTTGGAGGTGGGATCGGTTTCCCTGAAGAGATAAGTCTTAAGGGAACGCCTAAAGGCAGTCAAGGCCGGAGACAGACGGACAGGTTGGGGTAGAGAGTATATGGGGTATAGACCACACAACATCATGCAATGCCGAGCTCCAATCTGAGAGTAGAATAGTGTCTTGTATAAAAAAAAGATCTATTCCAGGGACAGACATATAATTCTATCACTTTATAGAACACTGGTAGGGCCACATCTGGGGGGCGGGGCTCAGTTTTGGTCACCTTGTCTTAGGCGGGATGTCTGAGAACCACACCCGAGGCCCGGCACACCCGGGGCCCATCCCTATCCACCCGCAGCTCATTCCAGCTCCCCCTGGACTATGTGTACTGGGATTCTGGTCTGGGGTGCAATGGGACGTTCCGAATACTCCTTCAGAAGAGACGCGACTGGAATTTATAAACTCATCAATGGGGAATACAATCCTGAAACCAAGAACCTCGAAGAGCTATAGACATGACTAGTAGCCATAGAGGAGTGTCACTTACCTGCAGTCACCACATGGAGGAGTAGCGCCCCCAGGAGGATGGATGGGGTCAGCGCGGCGGTCAGTCTCATGTCGGGGGAGGGGAGGGATCGGCTCTCTGGTCGGGTTTTCTATCTGAATGGAATAAATAAGAAATGACAATAATCTGGTCACATTGTCGCCGTCTTCCAGTCACCTCCCTGCACTCCATTACCTGGACAGCTGCAATCACTCCTGTATACTGACCCACACCTCCGATATATATACCCCAGGAGGCCATGGGGGAGGGGTGTGATCACATGTCAATCCCTAATTCCCACAATTAACCCTCCGCGTGCTGCTGCTCTGCCTTCCTCACCTCTGGGAAAGGATTGTTCATACATTGCAATACACGTTCCATCTGACCCCCAGAGTCCAGAGACCCCCTCCCCTCCCCCACCCCCGTGTACATGGAGGATGTATTACCAGGGGTGTGAGCCGGGGGGATCCCTCATGGAAAAGTCTACAGGACGGGTATAGGGGAGCGCGGAGGGTTAATCGCAGTCTGAGCTCACATCACCTGATACTAGTATCTGCGATCTCCACCAATGAGAGATTATAATATATTCACCATTGTCATCTAGAGATATAGTGAGGAGGAAATCTTCCATTGGAAACATTGTATCTGTCTGACCAGAGGAGATTTCCTCTCACTTCCTGTCACATCTCTGAGACAGGAAGTGAGAGGAAATGTCTCCAACAGAACACAGATGGCAAAATACAAACTGGCAGAGGAATCATTGTCTATACATTCCCTGTAACTATTCATGTCTCCATGGAAACCGGCGACTCTGGGTGGACAGTTGGATAAATGGCTCTATATTTAGGATGTGTCTGGTCTATAAATGGCGGCTCTGGGGGGACAGTTGGATAAATGGCTCTATATTTAGGATGTATCCGGTCTATAAATGGCGGCTCTGGAGGGACAGTTGGATAAATGGCTCTATATTTAGGATGTATCCGGTCTATAAATGGCGGCTCTGGATGGACAGTTGGATAAATGGCTCTATATTGGGATGTACACTGATCAGCCATAACATTCTAATATTGAGGAGGTCCCCCTTCTCCTGACCCCCCCCCAGGCATGGACTCCTCTAGACCTCTGAAGGTGTGCTGTGGTATCTGGCACCAAGCCATCAGTAGCAGAGCCTTGAAGTCCTGTAAGTTGTGAGGTGATCGGCCTTCATGGATCGGACTTGTTCTTCCAGCACATCACATCCCACAGATGATCGATTGGACGGAGATCTGGAAAATTTGGAGGCGGAGTCATCACCTCAAACTCCATGTTGTTCCTCAAACCATTCTTCCCCCATGTGTGCAGTGTGGCCGGGCGCATTATCCTGCTGAAGGAGGACACTGCCATTATGGCTCTCCGTCCATACCAACCCATATGCCGGGTGCACTGCACTAGTATAATTGGGGGAGTGACACTCATAGGAATAATGAAGTATACTGGTGTCACCCAGCAGGCCCCACCCACTACAGGAAGGGGCAGATACTAGACCAGTCCCCCTGCACAATGAGAGGGAGCAGCAGTGAGCGGTCTTTATTACAGGAAGCTCCAACTTGTGATTGACAGAACCGCCTGGGATTATAGCCTGACAACCGCCTAAGCCGGTAGTTAGGACCGCAGCTGAGATCCACCATACCTCTCCCAAACTCTGGTGCATGAGATTAGCGTTGTATCTTCAGAGGAACATGCCTGGGGACAAGGTCTTTAACCTATAGGTAGGCAGTGGCAGCTGATTGGAGAGGGTCATCTCATGTGACCCCCCCGCCCCCGCAGATCAGGGCTATACTGGATGACTGCAGAGATCTGGAATACACAAAGCTCACCAAGATTCCAGAGGGATACACATGACTCTTGTATGAGGACAATGTCTGCTGATCCCGGAGTTCAGCCTGAAAGAGACCCGGTCTGGTCAGTGACAGTGTCTCTGTGACCCCCAAACACATTACACTCCCCTCTCCAGGGATCCCCTGAATCCACCCTTCTCTGCCAATCCATCCACTGGCCTCCATCCCTCACTTTTCTCTGCCAATCCTTGCATGGTGCTCAGTTTACCAAACCATTCATAATTTTGCAAAGAGCTACATCACCGCATCTCATTATCACCAAAACCATCTTCTCTTCTCCCAAGACCTTCTGCTCCCTAGCAAAGTGCATTGCCCTTAATTTAAATAAACATATTGGGGGAGAAGGCACATAGGTGGGACAGAGTGAGGACTGTCAGTACTGGAACATCATCTGGTGCCCAGTGTGGAAGCGATCACATATCTCTGTGCGGATTTGTTGGTTTCATGGACATTGTACAAGTGGTATTTGTACACTTTGACCCACCTGCAGGGCTGGATTTCCCACAAGGCCAATCAAGGCCTGGCCTCGGGGCAGCAGGGAGTAGAGGGGGCAGCAGGGGTGTAGAATTCCTATCTCCCGATGCCCCGGACATGCAGTTCCAGGCACCGGGTGGGTAGTTTTCTATATTTAATCTGCTTTGGGCAAGCAGAGCTAAATGTACAGCGGGGAAGCCGCCCCTGGTTGTCTACAAGTGATCTCGGCAATGTCACTTGTATGCAGCCTGCTGGTCTGTAGGGTGCATTGAGAAACCTGGCCTTGGGGCAGCAGAGAGTAAATCCGGCCCTGCCCACCTGGTGTGATGCGATACTCGTCTATATAACAAAAACCCCCAAACATCTCAGTGCTGCAGATTTAAATGGCAGTTTATTGGTTAAGTCATCACCAGGGTGATGGACAGACAAATGTTAGTAGTTCCATCATCTTCTAGAATATCTGGGTGACTTCTCCCGTGTCCAGTTCTACTGCAACTTCACTCCTGATGGGAAGAAAATGGAAAACATACATGAGCAATACCCTCCTATCACAATGCCGGTCACCAGGTCATCAAGAAGGACTATGAAATGGACCAAAAGCTGCATCTCAGTTTGTCCAGCTCCTCATATCCAAGTTCCCTCCTGCAGCTTGTCCTCCCCTCTCCCCCAATGGTGAGATTCCCCCCCCAGTAATTCATTGTTGCCCCTCCCCCTCCCAGGGGTCACCTTCTCACAGCTGAACTCCATCATAAGGTCCTTATTCTATATTATGGAGAATCCATCTGGAGAGGGCGACACCATCATCTGGCTTTGTAGTGGCCATGGGAGGCGGGGGAGAACCAATGCTTCTGGTCTCGAGGAGGGAAACATTGAAATCAATGAGGAGTATCAGAAGAGCTCCTTTTAGATGAGTAAACGCAATGATCCTCTTCCACCCTGCCCCTCATCATGCCTCCATGCAGGTTACCCAACAACTGGGCTCACACAGGAGGAGACATGTCTCGGTAGTGTCAGGTGGAGTGGCCAGTGAAGACTGCACTATAATAGATCACCCAAAAGGTGTAACCATAGACAAAGCTCCTCCTATGGGGCCCAGAATGTTGGCTGTCAGGTAGCATTTGATACATGTGGCGCCTGTATATGGATTACTTGCAAAGCAATTTGTATTCTGTATCACTAGGAGGCTTTTGCAATTGATATTAAAGAGATAGAGGGCCCCGTAATGGTTATGTTATAGGGCCCCTTGATGTAAAGTTATAGCTCCTGGTCACACTTCCAGCTTCTGCGTCTATGTATAAAGAGTTCTCCACCTTTTCCTGTCAGCCCTGCTTGGCTGTCCTCATAGTATCTGAACCCCCCACCGGCTAAAGAGGATGTCCATCACAGGAGAAGAAGAAGAGTTGAAAAGAGAAGAAGAGTTCAGCCGACCCGTCTCCAGGTCTGCTGGTTATTATAACGACAAGCAGTAGTCACTGAAGGAGATCCGCTTATGGTCGTTCTTCTCATATCCTCAAGTTTGTAGGACTCGGGTTTGAAGTTACCTAGACTATGAAACCTGCAGTCAAGGAACAATGTTTACAAAACGATGGACCCTCCTGAAAGTTCGGGGGGTCTACCAAAGATTGAGGAGAGTTTGGAGTCTGACCGTCAACTGGTCAAGTCTAACCGTTAGAAAAAAACAAAACCCATGACCTGAAACGAGTCTTCTGACCCCATATTCAGGTGTCCATGTAGATCTGCAGACCAGCGAGCCAGAGACACCGGACCATCCCGAGTAACAAGGTGCAGAATTTTGGAAAATAAAAATTGAGCTCCATGTTTTCTTCCTTTAATTTGAACCAAATGGCCAATTTTCCAGACAAGTTTCTGAGATCCATTCTCTCTACAGAGATTTAGATAAGTCAAACCCAACATATGTCCCCGTTATAGCACCAAAATCATCCCCGCATGTTCCTTCTCCACATCCTGTTTTATAAATGCGGCAATTTCAGTGGAAGAAGAAAAGAGAAATTCAAGACGGCGAGAAGCAAAACGTGGAGAAGAACCATCCTGCACCTCCTACCTGCGGGGTCTGTGCACGAATACTGACAGGCAAACGGGCAGCACTTCTGTTTCCCCTTACAGTCCCGGTCATAGGTACAGTGGCGATCCTCCTTGGGTGTCTTCAGAGAGCAGGGGACGATGGGTATCGGAGATACGGGACACTTCCCCGGCTTGATGGGTGGTGGTGCTGGGGCTGGATGGAGAGACATTTCATGTTACACATGGCACATGGCAGAGCAGTAACAGTGATATGTGGGGTCATCTTCTGTGCCTCATACCCCAAATCAGCCATGTTCCCTTCACACTGAGAGCACTACAGGGGCGGCCATTGCTTTCTCCTGAACATGTCCACCACCAGCTGAGCCGAGCACTGAATCTGTTCCCCCCATGCAGAGCAAAGCACCACAGTCACCAGACTCTCATCCTCTCTCCCCCACTCCCGGGAGCTAGAAGAAACCATCTGGTACTTCCAGGCATGGAGGAGCATGTGACATCACTGGGCCAATAGGTGCTGTGCGATGGGGTGTCCATAGCCCTGTGCAAGTCATGATTCCGGTGACTTTCCTGTCACTTCTACTCCTGAACAGAGCGCAGGGAAGGCCGGTGTATGAGGCGGCAATGAGGTTCTGTTCTGCATGGGCAAAGCATGGACTGACGTTGGGTCACCGACCTCCAACACGCATGTGGTCAGACCTCCCAACTAAGGAGGAGCGGAGTGATTGTGGGGGGAATGTCACCAAAGATAAAAACAAGTTTATTTAGTAGATCTGCAAAAATTAGGTCAAAGCGACTGGACCGTCTATTGTTCTAGAAGATGTTTCACTGGAAGAAAAATACGGCAAGTCGAGTTCCCTTGACTTAATTCTTACAGATATACCATGTGACCCGGAGGAATGAGAACCGTCACAGACAGTTTTAGTGTTAGAGGCAAAACAAAACAAAGCTATAAAAACATTATAAAATGTAAAATTTAAATTTTGAAAAAAACATAAAATATTATAAAATAAATTCTATCAGAGACTGCTCACCCCGCTCACCCCTGACAGGACATTCCTCAGTGTCAGGTGTTGGAGGTCGGAGGTCAGATTCAGCTCTGAGAGGATCCGATTGGCCGCTTTGACCAATGCAGACGCCGCCAGTTCCACCCTCACACATAACGTGGTCTAGTATTCCATCCTCACCGCCGTCCACTTACCCCAGGGGTCCGAGCATCGAATAGCGCAGCCGACCTCGCAGCACTTCTGTTTGCCGGGACAATTCGAGTCAAAGTTGCATTTCTTGGGGATGGGGAGCACACAGGGGGCAAAGGTGTACACCACGGGGCAGGTGCCGGTCTTCACCGCTGCAAGGAAAGACATTTACCGTTATCAGTGTCTCCCGGGAACACCTTCTATACACATCTCATCATCTCCTTCTACAATCTCACATTCCAGGTCCGGGGCACTTCCAGGTTTTGGGGTCATTTCATGCAAATTATTATTTATGGACAATCTTAAGTCTGACCCTCCCCCTCCATGAAGGAAGGACAGTGGGGCTACGTCTCATGGGGAACAGACGTAGCCCCCCTCCAGAAGGAAGAACAGTGTCAGAGAAGATTGGAGGATCCGAGTGATACACAAATAAGATACATTCTGTAGAGTTACTTTAAAGGGGTTCTTTACTGTGAGAGCGGTAAAAATGTGGAATTCACTGCCACGGACAATTGTATCAGAAGAAGGCATTGACAGCTTCAATTCACAGAATATACCGGGCTATGGGAATCACAAGAATGTCTCGTACACTCACACACACTATACAGGATGATCCTGATGGACCCGTGTCTTTATTTAGCCTCTAATACTATGTAATGCCCAATCCAACCAACCGACCCGACCCGACCCGAAGAGTCACCAGTACCCAGAAAAGATAAAAACACATTTCAATCTATATGTTTTTCAGCAGATTTGTTGAAGTGCTACAGCCATAGAAGAGCGTCACTTACCTGCAGACTCCACTTGGAGGAGTAGCGCCCCCAGGAGGATGGATAGGGTCAGTGCGGTCAGTCTCATGTCTGCGGTCTGGAGGGAATATGTCGGCTCTCTGATCGGTGGATGGTTTTTATATTCTGATCTGGAGGAAGAAACGTGTTGTTGTGTTCAGATATTTTCCCCAATTTCACAATAAACTTGTAAAATTGGTGACAACAGAGTTGTGATAATTGACTTCCTTACATTAAAATGCCGGGAGGTGCTGCAACAATCCCGGAACACCAATACACGCCCTGAGATATAAAACACGAGGTGTGGTCGCATGTTAACCCCGAATCATCACAAGGAACCTTCTGGAGGCACGAGAAATAATGGTTCTTCATTACATAAGGACACCCAAAGTTGGGGGGAATCTCCCGAAGAGAGACCCCCCCACAGGTGGGAGAAGGCAGAGGGGCCCATTTGTAGGTCACAGAACCTCCTGCCCCACTTCAAGAACAGGCCCCAAAGGTACCCGCACCCTCCGTCATCTGTGAGAGTCAAAAAGTGCCAATCGTGCATGAATAAAAACCGAAGTGCCAGCGCTCCACGCTGCCAGGCCTTAGGGGCCGCAGTGCAAAAATATTGCCCCGGACTAGCCATAAGGCCGGCCCTAGAGGCGATGTGCAGTAACTGCTTAAGTGCCGTGTCCATGTGTCAGTGAATCAGTGTTGGGGTCCTACACCCAATGTGATTCTCTGGCACCCCTGGGACGCCACCCCCAGGGGGCACAGCACCACGGGCTCCGCCGCCCCCCAACCCTCCAGCCAGACCAAGCAGGCACCCATTCCCATGAGAAGGTAGTGCCATCCAAGGTCCCTCCCCACGGTGGTCAACCCGATACCTACGGGTCTGACACATCCAGCAGGGACTGAACCTCTTCCGGCACCCACCAATTAGGACACATCCACCTCTCCAATAGACGGCGGCGTCCTGTCTCCCCCGGCAACTGATAAGAACAGATACTACACTTGACCTTAGCCAAAAGGCCGAGAAGCGACCAAAAGGCTATATGCGCTATTCACAATACCCCGTACAGCAGGCGAAGCGCAGAACGCATGGGGCTCGGCACAGCCCAACACACGTCCGGAGGGGGGAGAACGGTCTGCCGAAGGGGACCGAGTTCCATGAATGTTGTAAGGAGAAAACCCAGCGGCTAGCTGAAGGATCAGCCTCTCTTCTAGCTGACTGATCGCATGTTCTAAGGCCTCCGCTGGGAAATGGATCCGCCGCACACGTTCATTCAGTAATTGTTTCCGGGCCTTATGTAATAATCTGTTAGTCACAGCCAGGCGTTGATGTCATTTGCATAATTGGAGTCCAGGAGGTGTTATTAACCTGCCCAGACGTGTTATACAGCATTGTATGTGGCAGACAAGGGATGTTTTAGCACCTCTCTCTGGGCAGGTTAATAACACCTCCTGGACTCCAATTATGCAAATGACATCAACGCCTGGCGGCGACTAACAGATGACGAGGATCGGAGCGACATTCACCGTATTTATTCCCAGAGGATTTCTGTACAAGTCGTTCTGAATGGGGAGAGCTGGTCGGATGACGAGTGAAACGTCTTCAAGAATAATACAGCGAGTCCACCTGCCCGGACCTATTACAGGAATGACCCGGAGGAATGACCCCGAGGAATGACCCGGAGGAATGACCCGGAGGAATGACCCGGAGGAATGACCCGGAGGAATGAACCTTCGCAGACATAAACCTGTACTGTATATAACTGCTAGTAGATGTGTACGGGAGGGAGATGTCACGGTACCGAGCACAGGTACCTATACAGGTGAGCCGAATATATGTGACCACACTGCAGATACCACAACAATCCTTGTGAGTGATAGTTTAAAGGAGAACTATGAGGGGGGAGGGGCTTGTCACTCACCACATAGTTAGAGCCGACCTGTGACAATGAGACTGTCACAGGTCGGCTCAGTAAATCGGGAGGTGAGAGAACACATACCGGGTTTGCTCACCTCTCGATCCTGTCACTGCTCTCTGCCGTGACGGGGAGGGGCTAGATTCCCCCCTCCCCGCTCCGATCCTCCAGCACTGACTGGAGGAACGGACGGGGGAGGGGGCGGGTACAGCTGGCTCTGCCTCTAGATAGGCGGAGCCAGCTGTCACTCACGCAGCTGGGCGGATCC